AAACCCTTAGTCAAGTCATTGTCCAGTTCGCGAGCCCAGCCTAAGTAAATTTTCAGTTCTATGAAATCAGGGCCAAGCTGAAAGTCGAGGTGGGGGGGGGTGGGGGGAGAGGGACGGAGACTGATTGCCATTATTAGGGGGAATTCCATGATATATATTAAAAGCTGAGTGATTTGTGATCACTTTCGCCGAAAGGGGGGGGGGGGGAGGGGGGGGGGCAAGCGCATCAAGGTAACCTCAAATTAGTATTATTTTAGTGTTCGCGCTACTGGCAAGAACCAAGTCAAGGAGTTATATTTCGCCCTAGTTGGCTCTGTCACAAAACTGTTTTAAAAGACAATCTCCTGGATGCGTATCAAGAAAGTCACCTGACTCTAAATTTCCTGTTCAACATGGCTCCAGTCAATCTGTCTATAGTTGAAATTCTCCAGCGTCCATAGGGGCTACAACAATTCGTAATGTTGAATTGCCTACGAATTCGTTCCCATAGGAAGTTGTATCTGCACTCCCTATCGAGAGGGTATTTGGGGCTCTGTAGAATCACACCCAAAATTAGTTTTTCTCGCGCCCTCGAGAGAGCTGTAGACCAAACAGATTCAGTGGCTGATGCTTCTTATTTATATATGCTTGTCTAACACAAACCAAATTACATTGTCTGGCTGCTGACATAAGCATCGCTACTTACTTCCAGCCACCTTCTCTGTTGACAGCGCTGTCGAGTGTGAAAGAATAATTTAAAGGCCTTGTATGTACATTCAGAGGGCATTCTCTCTACTATTCTCAGATTGGAGTCCTGGGCGGGGCCCCAAGGTCTCTGTTAATAGCAATAATATCTTATGTTTCGCTGGGCACGTGCAAGTAAATCTTAGCTCAATTCTATCTGTATTTCATTACAACTTCCTGCTTATAGTATAGTAAACCTTAAGGAGAGGCTATGTCGGCCTTGCTGCCGGTCTCTGGCGGTCCCCGCCCTTGTGTGTTGCTGACCTGATCTATTGTCTTTATAACTTCATTGCTGAATGCCTTTTATACTATGTACTGTTTCGCAACGCCTGTGTTGCAACCTCGTTGTTTCGCCACACACACCCATACCTCTATCTTTCATCAGTTTAAAATCATAGGCAATTCAGCAGCGCGTCCTCATCGAGTGCTTCAAAGTGCTACCACCTCTAGCCGGCAGAGAGATATACCGCCATCCCCTTGGGGGCATACATTGATCTATGTTTGCCATAAAGTTGTTACCAGTTGTCATGATGGGAGTGCAGAAGTTCCGATTGGCAGTATCTGTCTAAGCCAGGTAGCAATTTACAACCATGCCTAGACCAACCATTCATATTCCTACTCACCACTTTCTATGGCAAGGATGCTAGCATATGATATGGGATCGCGAACCTCCCTTAAGACTTGAATGAAATCATATAGCTGACCTGTACTTATGCTACGGGCAGACTCTTCCTCTCTACCGCTTCGCCAATATCATTTCCACCGAGGCAGGGTGGGGGGGGGGGGGGGGGGGGGGCTGAATAGTGGGGGGGGGGCATATGAATCTTGTTCCCGATTACCTGACATGATATTATCCAGGCCTGTGTGACTATTCCCCTAACAGCCAGGCTCCAGGGAAGCACACTCTATCTCTCATCTTTATTCTATTAGGCAAAAAGGCATGGTCCATATACTATCATTACCTGAGTTGGCACCAATCCCAAGGAATGCACTTGACGGCTCCCATTAGGGGCAGGGGTCAGTAGTACCCTTTATAACCGTTCCTGCCACTGAGGTAGCATTCATCCTGAAGAACAGAAGCGATTTCCTACTATCAGATGCTTCACTCTTAACTTTCGTCGTACTCTGGATGGGCGCCGCGAACGCATTACGTGTGAACCTCTCGCTACTTGTAGTACATGGCTGGGCTTGCACTCCACTGCTGGTAGGCCGTTGCTACCGTCCCCCCAAACTAACCAGGCCTCGCCATGCAGCAGTGAGCGAGAGACAGACTGCACCACACTGCTAGGAAGCCATCATTACGACCGCGGGGCACAACTCCAGCATTCTAGCCACCGTCACACTCCCAGTTCCAGAAGTACTCCATTGAGGTGGACCTTCAGGCCTCCTTAATCTTCGCCTCCTGGAGAAGGCAAAGACCTCCTCCCTTCAAACACAGTCTTCGCAACCTTCAATTTTTAAAACATACATGCCAGAAGGCAAAGCCATGCTTGTAACGTCGCAGAACGCTAATCCCCAAAAGCAGCTCAGGTCTGCGACCTCACGTACGACTGACCATCTGAGCTTAGATCCCATATAAATCTTAACAATGAATACAAGGACAGAGAATAGGTATAGTGGAAGAAATCAGAAGAATTAGGATAGGTAAAAAGAGAAAATGAGGTCCTTGAAATAACTATAATTGGCATGCAAATAGGATCGTAGTGGCTAGGAATAAATGGATGAGTGAAGTTACTTGGCTATTGGGCAGTCGAAAATTGATGTATTATGCCATAATTGACATACAGTGGTTGGCAATACGAAAAATCCGAACATAGCTACTTGTATTTCAAAAGATCAGGTTTTAAATTATTTCCAAGAAGAAACAGAAGTAACTAGGGAAGGGGGTAGGGAGGCAGCTGTATATCGCGAGATCGCTTAACTGTTTCATAAAAATCGGAATACAGTCTGAAAATCACACATGCAGAGTCTGGATAAAAGTTTTTCAGAGGGGCAAAATAAAAATGATTTAAGGTGGTGATATACCGTCGGCTACGACAAACTTAGGGAGCAGCAGAGAGACAACAATGGGTAGAAATCTGTTAAGGCACAATACACGATAACGTAGTAATTCAAGGTCTTCAACTTTATGGTTAGATTGACTGAATTACTTGACATGTAATTTAGAATTCTAAACGACTTCTTAGTAGTATCAGGATTGTTACTTGAAGCGTTTGTGAAAGAAAGCCTGCAAGGGGAAATAACCGCTGACATGTGTTGCTGGCAACAAGGAAACACCTATTGTTAATATTGATAAGTTCAGAAATTACGGAGGAACATCCTACGGAGGGCAAGGCGGGCCACAAAGCATTATCTTGTACATTGAATGGAAGTTATGATATGGGAATAACTCAGGCAACGGTTCCAGATTTTCGCTTAGCAAGATTACAAATGAGCTTAGAGAACACAAATTTTTGTTTTTACTTATATCATACTGTGGACTTCCTGGGGGTAACAAAGAAAGCTATTGAATATGCCGAGACTTTCTTTGAACACTAAACATGCTGCCCAAAAGAAGCATTTGATCCCGTATATAGAAATGACTGTCCCTTAACATTTCAGAAGCACTTAATGGTTCCAGAGACTGTACCTTAACATTTCAGAAGCACTTAATGGTTCCAGGGACTGTACCTTAACATTTCAGAAGCACTTAATGGGTCCAGAGACTGTACCTTAACATTTCAGAAGCACTTAATGGTTCCAGGGACTGTACCTTAACATTTCAGAAGCACTTAATGGGTCCAGAGACTGTACCTTAACATTTCAGAAGCACTTAATGGGTCCAGAGACTGTACCTTAACATTTCAGAAGCACTTAATGTGTCCAGAGACTGTACCTTAACATTTCAGAAGCACTTAATGGGTCCAGAGACTGTACCTTAACATTTCAGAAGCACTTAATGCAGTGGTTCCCAAACTGGGGGTAAATTACCCCCTTGGGTAAATTACCCCCTGGGGGTAAATTACCCCCTGGGGGTAATTTAACCATTTTTGGGGGGTCATGGAGGGGTGACAGAAAAAAAGTTATGAATTCTGAAAAATCAAAAAAAAAATGCGTACCCGGTATGAGGATTATTGTTAACTTTGTCTTAGTATATAAAGTTGTAAAGTAAACCTATTATAAGTAAGTAATAAAGTTAAACCAAATAACAATAAACATCAAAAACTAATATACAGTATTAGAAAAGAAGAAATAATAGCTAAGTGTGTGGAAACCCAAAAAAGTTTTTTTGACAAGTATGCTTCGGGACAAAGTCACTCAGAAGCCCAGACGACCTGTCCAGTACACGTCACTCACTTCCTGAGGCGCCTCTATTTCACACTGTCAGTTTTTCTGTGAGCAATCAGCCGAGGTAGACCATAAGCTGGTATGTATGTGTACTGCCCTGTGCAGAAATATATTTTAGTTTTTACCCACTGTTACTGTGAATTTGTAGCTATTATTAATTTTTAAATATATAATGTATGTGTGGTATGTGGGCTTGAAACAAGCATGCATCACTATTTTTCCAGAGAGTGACCAAGAAACAGCCACTCTTCATGGATCATTCATCCCTTCTCTGTACCTGATGATGCCATTAAAGATGATGATTTCCTGCAAGAGGAGTGGATCACAATGCGAGCCAATGAAGCCTTGAAAATCGAATTCCAAAACCAAAATGCAGATTCCTTTTGGGATTTCACGACTAAACCCGACTCGCCAACTCTGTCCAAGAGAGCCCTTTAAGTTGTTGGTATCATTCTCAACAACGTACTGTTGCGAGAAGGGCTTCTCAACGTGCTGGGAATGAAAACAAAAAAGAGGACTCGCTTGAATGTTGCAAACGATGCCAGGGTGCACTTTCAACCCCGAAGCCAAGAATTCCTAACAGCTTCAAATATGCAACTCCATCCATCCCACTGATGTTCTTGACATCTTTGGTAATAGTCATTAGAGATGCACAATGTTCAAATACAATAAATAAAACAAAATATCTCAAGTGTTTTAATTTAGCCATATATATCAATAATAACAACATTTTGTGAAAGGGGTAACATGCTTTATGTGGCATGTTAAATTGGGTAACAAGCTGAAAAAGTTTGGGAACCACTGACTTAATGGGTCCAGAGACTGGGCCACAAATTTTTGATAGCTAAATAAGTTAGTGGTAATGAAGTATTTACACGTTTATATCATGTTAGAGTCGTACTGAGTTATTTATGCAGACATGAATTAGGTCACAAAAAATATTACAGAAGTATTCCCTTATATTTTATTACAGTATTCTTGTAAATATTTTTAATTGATTATGCGTCATTAATAGTGGTAAAAGTCAGGGCATTTTTGACAGTGGTTTTTAATATACCACTGTGGATAAAATACTTTCACATTTCTTGAACATTTCTGAGTGAATTGTCTCGAAATTCATCAATTTTACGGTATTCCAGCACATAATGACGCAGAGTGTGGTAATTGTTCATCAGGTAAAGTTTAGAAATAGTTTGGTCTACATAATAATAATAATAATAATAATAATAATAATAATAATAATAATAATAATAATAATAATGATAATAATAATGATAATAATAATAATTGTAATAATTATTTCTGCAAGTATATGATACAACTTATACAGACCATAGCTGACATCAATGACATACTATATAGAAAGTCCCCTGGCTATACAGAGCATTTCGGGCAACTTAGGTTAATTTTGTCCCCCAGGATGCGACCCATACCAGTTGGTTAACACCCAGGTACCTACTTGCTGCTACGTGAACAGGGACAGCAGGTGTAGGGAAACACGCCCAATGTTCCCATCCGCACCGGGGATCGAACCACGGACACTCAGTGTATGAGAAGAGTTTGCTACCAACCGTGGTGGTGATTTAACCTCCCAGAGACAGTGGTAACACAGCCTATAATATGAACACAGTTGAATTCGCTCATATTGTAAATAACTGCACTAGCATTATCTTTCTTGTTAGTCCGACAGTTATGATAATAGTTGTGTACCCAGTAATGTTGAGTATGTTGGTGTCGTGCTTCACTCGGGTCTCGCTTGGTATAATAAAAGAGAAAATGGTATTTAGAAACTGAAGTAATGCCATGACATCACCATTGTTTGCTTGGTGACCTCGTGTTGTCAGGGAAAATTCTTAATAATAAAAATATGTTAACTTCTACAAGTATATGTACAAGATATACAGACCATAGCTGACATCAGTGACATAATACTATGTAGAAAGCCCCTTGTTATGCACAGCATTTCGGGCAAATTAGGTCAATTTTGTCCTAGGATATGACCCATACCCTCACAGGAGCTATGAACCGACCCCTGCAACCACATATAGGTGAGTACACTGAGGTCTCGTACGTGGACGTCAGTGTGAGCTGAGTGCAGCTCACACTGACGTCAAGGTACCTTTGTTAAGACCAGCTACAGCAGTGTTTGCTGTACAATATTCGCCCTTATTGTCAGTAAGCTGTTGCTTCCATATATTTCCTTTCAGAGGCTAAGTTCCGGGTCAAGGTTTTTTATTATGAATAATGAAGATAGCTACACGAGATAAGAAAAATGTCTGGGTTAAAATCCAGGGTCAATGTGTGGATGTGTACACAAACATATGCAAATGAGGTTATTACAACATACAAGTAGGTTAACACTAATATTAATTTTAGCTAGGTCATATATGTAGGTTAATTATATTTACGATATAATGCAGATTTCAAATCAAGAAATGTGGCAAAGCCAGTTGAAGATTGTGCATATAAAAAAAAACATACATAGGATAACCCAGAAACGCGATTATAGGCCTTGTTTGTTTTGCTTTGTTTGTTGTCTCACAACAAACGAAATATTTCGGTCCATCCTGTACCATTATCAAGCAATGTGGGAACAGAAATGCGATGGATGCCGCTGTTGAAGAAGACAGGGCAGAGATCTTGTTAGATCACTGATGGGTACGTCTGGCCTTCACGAACCCAACCACTGCATTC